TTTTTTGACCAAAAACTCAGGCTTCAGGTATCAGTGTTGCAATTGTGTGGCTGTAATAATATTTCTGAAGTGTTTTTTTTAACAAACACTTAACAAAGGCAGGGCGTTAAGAGGATCATGAAGAGGTCAGGACCTAATAAAGTAGGTCATGCCAGGGGTTTAGTGTTTCAGATCGTCCCGAGGACACGGGTTTCGTGACATCATCACATACAATAGAAGTCCCATTTCATTGGCTAGGCGCCAACCAATAAAACGGCTCCTTTGAACCCCCGCTCCCGCCCCCCTTCCTCTCTCTCCGCCACTGAGCTGCAAGTGCACAAGTCAGTTTTGCATCTCATATATCCCGGAAAGAGTAGCAAAAGTCAAGGAGTGAAATTTGAGATTGCAGTGACAGATTTGAGAAGTTGCAATTGCCTAATTGAGGTTGTACTGGAAATGTGAATGTAAGAATAAGTGCAAATATATATTACAAGTTTGTGTCTGTCATTGTATTTTTCTGAATGGCATTTTACACATTTGTGACTACTCGTCTGCAGCTTCAGATTCAGAATACAGGTTTGTGACTATTGTCTGCGAGTGCAAATTTCAACATTCAACTTCAGATTTTTACATATATATATATATATATATATATATATATATACATATTTTTTAGCTGTGTGTAAGTGTGTATGTGAGTATAATTAATGTGCCTGTGCTTCGGCCATGTAAAGCCGTTCTTTAACCCTGTCAGTAAAGCTGTTTGACTCTGATGAGTCTGAGGTGAGTCTGTATCTCGTCCTGATCTCTCTTCGGTCTCGTCGTGAGCTCACAGTCTACAGCAGCTTTTGCATTCAGAGGGTGTTTTATATGATCAGCACATGCTTCACTCTGCATGTGTTTATAGCTCTATGAACTGAACATGACATGATCAAGAGCTCTTCTTCATCAACCAACAAACATGACTTTCAGCATCATCTTCCTCTTGACTCTGCCAGTGTTTAGTCCAGGTTTGAAGAATGATTTATGATTGTATTTTCAAACACTAATAACACTATATCATTACAATCAACATCAATCTTGTGTTTATGAAGAGAATGAGTCAGTGTTTTAATATGATCATCATGTTTTAGGTGTAATATATGATCCCCGTCAATCAAACTGAACACACTGCATTCAGTCACTTAAATTATTTTTATTAAATTTTTATTTTTTAAATACCAGCACCTTCTTTTGCAGAAGTGAAACTGTTGTGTTCCAGTCCAGATCATGTAACCAATCAGAGAGTGAGACTGAAAAGCCCATTTGCATTGTCAGGGTGGAGTGATTGTGATCTCTCAGAATAGAGCAGCTCTGTCTCCAGAGACCATGTTCAAACCCCAAGAGCTTTATTTGACATTTACTGCGACATCAACCTTCTGAAAAGCTCCTGCATCTTCATCTGTTAGTTGAATGATGTTGTCAGACACAGAGTGAACTTGTTGAGAAGCTTTATTGAATGTTGCAGCAAACACAGCAGATTGAAAGATCACACACACACACACACACACACACACACACACACACACACACTCTTTCAGTATGGAGTTGTAAAGCACTACAGCTGCAGCACTAGACTCATGTGAATCCTGCCTGACACAGGACACTCAGATACGGCTCATCTTCAGGAGAGAAACATCAGCACTCAGAGCTCTTGTGGAACGAGACCTCATGAGGAGCTCCATCATGTGTTACTCTGCAGACGTACAGCTCTCCCTCTTCCCAGCGTGCTTTGCTGAGGGTCAGGACGCTACTGCGGCTGTAGCGGCCGTCCTGCTGGCTCTCTGCGCTGGTCAGAACCCCCTCGGTGACCTCTGACCCGTCCAGTGTCCAGCTCACCAGCGCCCCCTGTGGAGAGTAAGAGCTGAGCAGGCAGAGCAGTGCGGCTGAGTCTCCAGAGATCTGCAGAGAAGAGGGCGGCAGCAGAGACACTGAGGGCTTCACTGTGGGACCAGCTGCAGGAGACAAACACAACACATTCACAAACACACACACAACACACTGCACTGCACATTCACAGCATTTCAACAGGACTTAAGCAGCAGACATGAGGAATGCAGGACAAATCTCCAGCATCTGATCCTTCATGCCATTCAGCTTCACTACAGTCAATATATATATATATATATATATATATATAGAATATACACACTACACAATCACTATATGCATTTATATCAAACCTCAGAAATCAAAATTATAAAATATTTTATCCCAAAATAAAGTTACATTTACTTGGATATTCTAAAACTAAATTTCAAACTGAATAAAAACACTGAATAAACATTTCTAAACATACCTATATTTTGTATAAATCGTGCTTATATTATAAAGCACTGAATTATAAGCACAACATGAGCAAAAGAGATTCAGTATCATTGACTGAACTACAGAAAGTAGCAACATTTACATTCTGATGTCAAATCTCTTTTTACATGTATGATTTCTACAATAAAAGATGAACTAAATATGAACTCGGTGTAGAAATAAATGAAGGGAAAACAAAAAATCTAATAAACTGAATAAACTCATTATGGAAATATGTTTATACATTCAGAGACACATTATGGACATATGTTAAGAATTGTATCTCGTTTTTTTTTTTTTTTTTTACATTTGTTGAAAGGAATAATGCTATTCTTATAATAATATCATGGTTTTAGATTAAATTATACAAAAATACTAGTAACACTTTAATGAAAGCCTTTATACATTTTGCATTATAAAGGTATTTTAATGCATTAATTATATATTGTTTTACACATTATAATTCATGTATGATCTCATCAATAATTGTAACCACAGTTATAACACATTATAATATTATCTATTCATTGTTACACCTTAAGAAATAATAATACTTTAAAACTCATGACAAACAAACAAAGAATTTGCCAATAGTATAATGCATTTGTCAGGGTTGCTGCAGGTAGCTGAAGACGAGGACACAGGAGCTTCAATATAATAGATTTAATTAACAAAATTAAACTTCCAAAATTAAACAAGAACAAAATAACAGACTCCAGGACTTCAGGGGAAACACAACCATACATAGACGACGATCGACAAACACTCAGGGAAAACACAGGGCTTAAATACACATGGAATAATAGAATAATTAACAGAACACAGGTGATAAAACTGAACACAAACGAGGAGCGGGAAAACTTAACAGGACTAAACCAAAAACCACAAAGACAGGGGGAAACAAGATCTCAAAAACATAACTAAACACATTGAAAATGTGACAATCGTGACAGCATTTTAATTTTGGTTACAATAATTTATGAAAATATATAAAGCATTATAATCTACATTATTGATACTTTTATAATGCATTATACGTAAAGTCTTCAAGTAAAGTTTTACCACAATATCTAATAATCATTATTATTAATAAATGTTGTTCTTGTTTCAACTGTAAAACACTTTCTGAAATCTAATTAGTATTTTTTATTAGGTGATTAAATCGACAGACTTACATATGATCACCAGTTTAGTTCCTCCACCGAATGTCCACCACAGTGATACAATCTAATGAAACGCTCGTACAAAAACCTCTATTCCACCTCTATTCCTCTATTCCACTCGAGTGAACACACACTCCAGCAGAGAGAGAGAAACAACACTTCAACAAACTGATATTAGAAGATCCTCAGCTCTTCTCAACACTCACTCATTCAGATTTGACTAAATGCTTTCTGATATAACACTGTCTAAATAAATATATGTGATGAGCTGTGACCTCTGAGGTGACCTTTGACCTCTTTGATCATGGATGATGTTGTGGAGTTTCTCATAATGATGCTTCTGTTCTTCATATGCAGATCAATCATCATGATTCACAGAAAAACCTGCAGCTTCACACTTCAATCTTCAGTGAGAATCTGTTCAAATAATGACTTTATTGAATATTAGAGCCAAAGTCAATAGAAAGTGTGACAATGAAGATATAAAAGGTGTTTTGCATGTTCTACACAGTCAAGCATGTTTTCATATTCAAGGTGTGTTATAAAAGTATCTGGACTGGTTCTGAATCTCCACACAAGATCATGAAACGTGAACAAGCTCTAATATGTGTCCATCTTTAACAGCCTGTTTCTTCTCCATCTGATGATTTCAGACACACATGAGGCTTCATGATAGATGGAGTGACACCATGAACTCTGATTAGAGATTCACAATCAGTCCTGATACTTTCTGAACACACTCATGATTCATGATCTTACTTTAGTGATGGCGCTTCATCTAGTGGAAGTGTAGCAGTGATGATGGTCACAACATGACATCATGACTTTGCGTAAACATACACGCCACTTTCAATTCAAGTGGCGTGTTATCTATACGCATTTTGACCTATCCGCGTGTATGTCCACGCCGAAATCTTTTGCGTGTATGTGTACGCCATTAAACGTCCGAGTGATTCCGCGTGTATGTGTATGCCGTTAAATGTCCGAGCGAAACGAAGCAAAATCTATATCTACATCTGTGGAGTGATATTTCTTTTCCTAGGATGGTAGGAGAACACTCATAAATGGTATTAACCCCAGTGACGGGTAGGTTTAGGGACGGGGTTGGGGTAGGTCATATATTTATATATACATAATACAGTAATATAACGTTAAGTCAAAGGCGTTGATAAACACGCTGAAAAGCGATTATGCGTGTTGATAGCACGCCAAAAATGGAAATACGAATCGGCGTGTCATACATACGCCATTTCATGAGATCAGTCTGTGGTCACATGACTGAATATGGACACAGAGATGGACGTTCATCTGCACATCCTCAGTGTCTCAGGAGTCACAATAAACACACTAAATAAAGTCATGATTGTGTAACTCTAGTGTATATGAGTTTGTTCTCAGCACAAGCTGTTGTAAATCCTGCCCACTTCTTTGCATTGTCAGCACATGCTTCAGTGCTCTGAGAGTGTTTATAGTGCTGTGAGTTTAACACTTCATGACTGAGAGCAGAACACAACACACTCTTCATCATCACACAAGACTAAACTACAACTATGAACAACATCATCATCTTCATCTGGACCATTGCACTGTTTATTCAAGGTTGTTACTTTTTAATATAAATATAATATGCCATTGTTGTTTTGATCATTTTAATATACAATTATAAGGTGATTAACAAACTAACTGACTTTCTTTTCTCTTCTTCAGAATCCAGAGGAGTGACTCTGACTCAACCTGAAGTTAAAACTGTCCAACAGAGTCAAACAGCAACAATAGAGTGTCATATAGATGTAGGAATATTGAGCGACTACTTAGCCTGGTATCAGCAGAAACCTGGAGAAGCTCCTAAACTCCTGATTCATTATATAAACAGCCGTTATACTGGAACTCCATCTAGATTCAGTGGCAGTGGATCTGGCAGTGATTTTACTCTGACCATCAGTGGAGTCCAGACTGAAGATACAGGAGATTATTACTGTCAGAGTTTACACAGTGGTCCAGTGTTCACACAGTGATAAAGAGTCGTACAAAAACCTCTGTCAGTCAGACGTCACAGTGACTGCACTGATACAGCTGAGAGAAACTGCAGCTGCTGATGGAGGATCACAAACTACACAATATCAAACCTTTCACACACTTTATTCATTTATTATGATGCAAGTAATCATGTAACATATAATCTTATATCTCTTATTAAACTGGACTAAAATGTGGAGAAAATGTGAGTAATGCTTGTCCCTGCAAAACTTTCCACTATATTATATTACCGGTATATTAAAATAGGAAAGTCAATCTCTTTAATTGCACTTCCACACTTCTCCACTAGAGCGTCACATGTCTTTTACAAAACTGAGTTCTGTTCATCTTTCCTTTAAGACCGTGTCTGCTAGCCTGGCAAGCCAGACCTACATCAAGATGTTAGGTCTGGGAACTCACAATTGGCACACCAAATCCGAGGGACGGGATAAACGGTTGTCTTTCAATATCCCTCGGTACGCAGTAGGACAGCGTTACAACCAACCAGAGCAACGAACGGCTGTGGCTGAGTGAGTCCCATGCGTTTTTCCACCAGTGAACCAGCTAGTTGGTATATTAAACTTTTGCCGTATCCGGTCGTCAAAACTCTGAACACATCTTCCTTTTTTAGGAATGACTTAAGTGACGTTCTCTTAACTCCAAGTCCTCCAGAGTCGCGGGCAAAGCCGATTCGAAAGACCGCTGTTCGCCAGCAGCATCTTCTTTGTTTTCAAGCAGAGGGAAATCACCTATGGAAATCACGCGGAACCGTCATAACTCTGCCGTCATATTGTTAAGCCCGCCCACCAACTCTACACGATCTGATTGGCAGGAGAAGTTTTTGGTTTTTCCAGCTCAAAAGTCTATGGAGAGTTGCTAGACCACACTTTGCTGCAAAATAATTTTTGCTGCCGCTAGGGTGCGTCTAGATTTCTAGGCTGTAGGTGTCTGCATCTGACATCACACACTTCACTACTGTATATGAGGTGAAATACAGTATGTGACAAAAGAAGTGTGTGTGAATTCACTCATAAAAGAGCAGGTAAAAAGTCCCCGGATGATCCACTACTTCCAGTGAGATTCTGAAGTGTGTTTATGATGGACACTTTACTATCCCATGAGGCCACAGGAGAGGATTTATGAATGACAGTGAAGCGACGCCACTGACACTCGTAGATCACATGATAATGACATCATGGCTAATGTACATCATGGCTAATGTAATACGTCCAGATTACATTACATTTACATTACATTTTCCTATAAACAGTGGAAACAACTTAAAATACTCCATCATTTCTGGTCATACATAAAAGATTAATGCATCAGTCGCAACTATTTGTGTGAACTCACAATAGCAAGAAAACGTTGTGCTTTTGTAAAATAAAATAAAATAAAATATTCAAGGCATGGCCTCAAAAATAAACAGAAACACAGTGTATACTAGCCTCCCATACATGAGAAATATATCTAGGCTATATAAAGCTTGAAATGTCCACTTTTAAACTAAAAAATTCAAATCGAAAGCAAATATAATCTGATTATGTAATCTGTATGAAAGATGCATTTCTTTCTGAAGCCGACACTGGTTTATAAACCATTTAACTCCTACCATTCATTGCGAAAACACTTGAACGAGTTGCTTTTAACCAAGTATCATCCTTCCTGTCTCTGAACAACCAGCTGGATGTCAACCAATCCGTCTTCAAGAAAGGACATTCAACTGAGACTGCATTACTGTCGGTCACGGAAGCCCTGCGGATCGCCAAAGCTGCTTCCAAATCATCAGTTCTCATTCTCCTGGACCTGTCTGCTGCCTTCGACACTGTGAATCATCAGATCCTCTTGTCCGCCCTCTCATCACTGGGCATCACTGGAACCTCCCTCAACTGGTTTGAGTCCTATCTCACAGGTAGGTCCTTCAAGGTCACATGGAGAGGTGAGGTATCCAAAGCACATCAACTGACCACAGGCGTTCCTCAGGGTTCAGTTCTCGGACCGCTCCTCTTCTCCATTTACACCACATCACTGGGACCTATCATACAGGCACATGGTTTCTCTTACCATTGCTATGCTGATGACACCCAGCTCTACCTCTCATTTCAACCAGATGATCCCACAGTAGCTGTACGGATCTCAAGCTGTCTGGCGGACATCTCGGCATGGATGAAGGAACATCACCTGCAGCTCAACCTGGCAAAGACTGAGCTTCTCGTCCTCCCTGCCAATCCGTCTCTACAGCACGACCTCACTATCCAGCTAGATTCATCCTCAATCACCCCATCAAGGTCGGTCAGAAATCTTGGAGTAATCTTTGATGATCAGCTGACCTTCACAGACCACATTACAAAGACAGCTCGATCATGCAGGTTTGCTATGCACAACATCAGGAAGATCAGGCCTTTCCTAACTGAGCATGCAACACAACTTCTCGTCCAGGCCCTGGTCATTTCTAGGCTTGATTACTGCAATGCTCTTCTGGCTGGACTTCCATCATGTGCAACTAAACCTCTACAAATGATCCAGAATGCTGCAGCTCGTCTGGTCTTCAACGAGCCCAAAAGGGTCCACGTCACTCCTCTGTTCATCTCTCTGCACTGGCTACCACTCGCTGCTCGCATCAAGTTCAAGGCTTTGACGCTTGCTTACAGATTGACCACAGGTTCAGCTCCCTCCTACTTCCACTCACTACTACAAGTCTACATCCCTACCAGAAGCCTACGATCGGTCAATGAGCGACGGCTCGTGGTACCATCCCAGCGGGGCACAAAATCACTCTCCAGAACATTCTCATTCACGGTTCCATGCTGGTGGAATGATCTCCCCACCCTCATCCGGAATGCAGAATCCCTGACAACATTCAAAAGACAACTGAAAACTCATCTCTTCCGGGAGCACTTAACATAAAAAAAATAAAAAAAATAAAAATCCTTTCCTCTAAATCCTCGCTTGCCTGGCTTATGCTACTCCGAGCTATGTCTGAACTTTGTATTTTGAGCACTTCTTGCGTTGCTTTTGCCTCTTCACGATGACTCGCTTGGTTTAGTCCTCAGTTGTAAGTCGCTTTGGATAAAAGCGTCTGCTAAATGACTAAATGTAAAAATGTAAATGTGGTGAGGAAATTTACAGAATGCGATTTTAATTAAGTTTGTTAATGCAAATATCTAATCAGCCAATCATGTGGCAAGACTTTCGCTGAAGTTTAGTCCAAATAACCGAATTTGGAGGAAAAGTGATTTAAGTGACTTTGAGCGTAAATTGTTGTTTGTACAAGACTGACTGCTATGTATTAATGCTAATTAACATTAAATGCATGCTTCTGCATTTGTTCAAAGAGGACAGACTACACTGTATATATTCTGGACATGCACTGAGGTACTTTTTCCAATGATCCACACATTTATTGGGCAGACCTAAATTGACCGAGCCTTAAAGCCCCCCTCCAGTGTATTTTGAAATTTCTATGATATTTAATTTCCTTACAATGTTGATTACCCACATAGTTCGCCAGATATTTTTTGACAAATAGCTTAATTTTGTGCTGCTCAAAGTTGCAAACGTTGCTTAGTTGTTAAAACGGGGTGGTGACGTATGACTACAATAAATTCCATAAGTCATCCGTCATTCTCCAAGCTTGCGCAGGCGCACTGTCACGCCTCGTTAAGTCGGAGCATCAACCGATAAACATCGTTGTTACAATATGTATGTTCATTATGGCATCTCTGCATGCGGTGATGGAGAACAGATGACAGAAAACGTCTCAGGTTACTACTGTAACCATAGTTCCCTGAGAAAGGGAACGAGACGATGCGTCACTTGACGCTTTGGGAGCGCCCCCAGCGTGAATGCGTCTGAGCATCAATGTCAACTAGTCCAATGGAAAGAATGAGCGTCACGGGCGGGTGACGTCATGACCAGGAAGGCATAAGAGCACATCCGGTGAAACGCGGCATTAGCTTCAAAAAGTCGAAGCAAGCCGATCACAGGGATGCAGGAAGTATGGCAGGGTGACGCATCGTCTCGTTCCCTTTCTCAGGGAACTATGGTTACAGTAGTAACCTGAGACGTTCCCTTTCGAGGGAACTCGCGATGCGTCACTTGACGCTTTGGGAACGAGAATTCCAAGTACCTGAGTGTCAGTCTGTTGGAACTAAGCACTAAGCACCTGAGAACCTGGGGCAGCATCCAGGTCCAAACTGTAAAACCTGACGAATGTGAGCGGTGAAGACCAGCCTGCCGCATCACAAACGTCTTGGAGAGAAACCCCAAATAACAAGGCTTTAGAGGCCGCCATACCCCTCGTTGAGTGAGCTCTGACCACCAAGGGACACGGATGGTCAGAGTACTCGTATGCAAGTGAAATAGCCTCGACTATCCACTTACTAACCGTCTGTTTAGAAGCAGGAAGACCCTTCTTATGTGATCCAAAGCAAATAAATAACTGGTCGGACTTCCTCATTGAAGATGTCCGATGAACATAAATATCCAGTGCTCGCACTGGACACAAGAGGTTCAGCCTTTCCTGGTCCGCAGATGTAAAAGGAGGAGGACAGAAAGCCTGCAGCACAATAGGCCTCGGAATCAAGGTCGGCACCTTAGGGACGTATCCCTGTTTTGGATATAAGAATGCCTTGACCATCCCCGGTGCAAACTCAAGGCAGGTGGGGGAAACCGAAAGGGCCTGAAGGTCTCCAACTCTCTTAAGGGAAGAAATAGCTAGCAGAAAGATGGTCTTGAGGGTAAGAAATTTCTCTGAAACCGAATCTAAGGGCTCGAACGGAGCCCTAGACAGGCCTTCTAGTACTATAGCAAGATCCCAAGCTGGCACCTTAGTGCGAGTTGCAGGCCTCAGCCTCAATGTGCCACGAAGGAAACGTGTAATCAGGGGGTCTCGACCCAACGATGTACCCCCCACCAGGGCGTGGTAAGCCGCAATGGCCGCCACGTAGACCTTGAGCGTGGAAGGACATAGACCTGACGTAAAGCGCTCCTGCAGGAACTCGAGTACTGTGTTCACAGAACAGTTAACTGGATCCCACTGATGTCGGTGACACCATACAGAAAAAACTCTCCATTTAAGCGCATAAAGTTTCCTAGTAGCTGGAGC